TTGGACAAAATCACTTGCTGTGGCATTAATTGCACTAATAGAGCGTCCAAGGAGTCTCCACTTCAGTTTTTTTCGGTAAGTTAAATTATATTTATGTATTTTGGGTCACTGCCGAGCTCAGCTTAGATTTTAACATGTACTGTTTATCCATGAAATTTAAATGTAATAGGGTAAAACCCAGTGCATTTAACATAATGCTGCACTTTAGAAAATGGGTTGAAATATAACATGTTGGTGGAGCTGGGTTCCGACTATCGGCTTGTGGAACTCTCGGGAGACCTCTGTTTTCCACCCGGTTCTCCCCTCCCTGCAGCTCGGCGCATCTCTTTCTGATCGCAGCTTCTGTCTGCTGTGCGGGCTGCTGGCTTGTGGAGCTCTGTGATGGAAACCTTTCCACCCAGTTCTCCCCAGCAGCAGCTCTGCGCATCTCAGATCGCAGCGGCGCTTGTCTGCTGTGCGGCTGCCGGCTTGTGGAGCTCTCGGAGACCTCTGTGTTCCACCCGGTTTTACCCAGCGGTCAGCCCGGCGTATCTCTGACTCAGAAGCTCTGGTGTTGTGCACAGTTAACTCCGGTTGTAGCTAAACTCCATTAGCTTAGCTCCCACCTCCGCGTTAGCGTTGGATTAGCGTCAGGTTAGCTTGTAGCTAGTTCGACCGGGTGTCGTCAGTTGATCCCAGCCTTACAGCCCCACCCTCAGCTCCACCTCTCTTCCCTTTTGTGGAATTGTCTGGGCTTGACGGAACCTGTGACACGGTCCAAATGGCGGTGGTGGCCACCTCCCATTTATCATCAAAAATGTGTTATTGGAGGCTATGGAAACCCATTGTCCAATATTTATATGTCGATGCGGAAAACTTAAAATTGTGTTTCCCCCCATTCGAAAATAAGCGCATTCTTGGTTTCAAAATGTGTCATTTTTGACTTTGATTTTTGATTTTTTTTATTTAAAATTCACTGACATCATATGTGAAATCCATGGCACAAAACAAGCGGAGTTAGAAAATTGCGTTTTTAGCCTCGTTGACTTGCATTAATTTTTGTTTTTTCCGGGGACCCATGGGGTGGTAGGTGGGCGTGACTTAGGCTCCCTATATTCTTAAAATTAACGAGCGCCGTTTTACTGTTTGCCAGGCCAGATTTGGCCATCTTGAATGAGGTTGTCTCTAAAAGTTAATTATTTATAAGATTTTTAGCTAAAATACAGGCAGAAATGTCACTGCCCTTTTCTTTCAGCTTCTAGTACTAAAAATCTGGTCTCTGACGAGACAAAACATTAAAACTTCAGCAAAATTAACGTGAAAATATTCTATTTTTCTACCATTTGAACCTTTTCTGTTCTGGGGTTTCGTGAAAAATGAATCTTGGTGTTAATTTATGCATGAAAGACAAGCGCAATGAAAGGCTTTTATTGTGGAGCCCAGACAAGATTTCTGAGCTTTTCTAAGCATTAATACGATGATGAAAGGGCTGCTCATCTCCTTTGCTGTAATTTCATCTCAACGTTTCCTCCTGATGAGTCAGAACTCCATCCTACAGCAACCTTTCAGGTTTCTGTTAATGTGTTTATGTGAAGGGGGAGCAGGAAGCTGGATGTGTGTGTGTTAATTTCCTATCCAATCCAATCCAATCCAATTTTATTTATAAAGCGCATTCACAAGGCATTACAACCAAACAAGGCGCTGTACACTAAAAATGTTAGTTAATCAAACAGGCGGTATACAAACATGTCGAACACAGATAAAAGATAAAAAGGAAATACAACAAAATTTCCAAAAACTAACAGCTAAAAATCAATAAGACACAGGGAGAATAAAAATTAGAAAAACATTTTAAAAAAGAACCTCAATAGTACGGAAGTTGATACTGTAAAGTCCATTTTTAAACAATGCAGATGTAAGTGATGATCATAATTATGTTCTATAAGCTAGGTTGAAGTAGTGAGTTTTCAAGCGTGATTTAAAAATGCTAGCTGTTGGTGCTTGCCTCACTAGCAGTGGTAATGCGTTCCTAGTGCTACAAAAAACCCTCATAGGTCTGCTGAATGGTTTTCATCTCAGACTGAAATTGAAATGATAGCCGATCATAATTGAAAATACCAATCCACAATCCTCCATCATAAATGCTAACCCTTTTAGTTAAAGCAGTTAATCTAGTTGAGCTGTAGGAGTCAACCAGGTTCAAGTTCTACAGAGAGCACTCCTGTTGATAAGGAGGCCACAGGTTGGGTAAATGTTAGCGCGTACACAGATTGAAATCTAAGGCGACACATTTCACTCCAGGGGCTGATTGCCCTCAGCTACTCTCGCTATGGGCGGTTGCATCATTTAGCAATATCATGTCTCACCAACAACATCAGTGTGTTTGATTGATGTTTGTGAAACAAATCAAGTGTGTGGATCTAAAACAAGGAGGTAATTTTCACTTTCCTCCTCTTACCATCTCTCCTCCTCCTAACTGCTTGGAAAACGGATTTTGACACAATATCCTTCAGGTTGATGTTACGCTTGAATCTCATTCTGTTTTCAAGCCTGTTTTTGCAATAGCAGGAGAATAACAAAAATGCAAAAGCCCATTTGTGAAAATGTTTCACTGGTGTAGCAATGCTTTCTTTCTCCATTCCTTGCCTTGGTTGGCAGGTCTGCATGCCAAAGTGTGCCGAGTTAGATTTATATGGGACTAGATTTGTGCCAATAGGATCAAGAAAAACACTTTGGAGAGCAAACAAATTTTAAGACACTGAGAGAAAAAACATTGGTTTCAAAAGAAAAACTTACGATCTGAATCAGATTCTTAAAATGATCAAGAAAAACACTTTGACGGTCAAACAAAAATTAAATAATTGACAGAACAAAAATATTGACTAAAGGAAAAAAACATGTTTCAAAAGTAAAACTTACGATCTGAATCAACTTCTTAAAATGAGTAACAAAGTATGTTTCCTTTTTCTGTTTGCCTCTATGTGTTTTTGTTATCAATGTCCTTAGTTTTGTTCTCGCTGCTCACAGCTTTGCTCTCACTACCAGATTTGCACTTACACTGTCTGGCTTTCTCCTTTGCAATCCCTGAGTTTTTGGTTGCAATTCTGACACAACCCTTTCGGGTGGGCGGGACTTCTGAGAAGTCCTCTCCCCTAGGACAGCGGTTTCTCTTGAGTGACAGTTCAGTGACCTGGAAGTGATGTAGCCTCCAAGACATTTTTTTTCCACCTGGTCAACAACATGAATTTTGAGCCCCAAACACGTTATTTCTGCTGTCTGTGGTGTCTACTGAGGATCTAAAGTGAGTATTGATAATATATTTGATCTTTTCTTAGTTAATCTGTAAGTTAAGCCACTTTTTAAGTTGGTTTTAACCAGACGTTAGCTCACTAGCTAGCTGCTAAGCAAGCCATTGTGCTAGCCTCAGGACAATGGTCTATTGTTCCAGAGACGTATTAAAAACTCATCTTAACATATTCATTACCGGTTTCATGGAATTAATTATTGCAGTTTATGTTAATAAGTTTGCTAATTTTTCAGGAACCTGTGGAACATCAGAGACTTTGCAGCTACTGGAGCTAACCTGTGTACTGCTAACTTGCTACAGAGGAAGCAGCAGAAAGCTGAGCTAACAGGCTGTTTTGCAGGTAAATACTCTTTTAGTGGAACTGCAGGACTTTTATGGTATAACTCAGACAGAATCTACATGAGCTATTGTGGGAAGACTTTTAAACTACATTTACACACACACACACACACACACACACACACACACACACACACACACACACACACACACACACACATATATATATATATATATATATATATATGCATTTTTTTATCCAAGTTACTTGGACGGGCTAAACAAGTTCATAGTTCTGCCTGCTCCTTTTTCGGTGAAACGAATGGATTTTATGATGTAACTCTAGTAAATCTATAGTAACCATAGTCTGGTGACTAGTGTCTAGTTTAGCTACATTTAGCTTAGCTGGAGTAATATAGTCTAACTCTGCCTCAACTGGTGACTTTTCTACTTCATTGTCAGCCAGACAAAATGTTGCTGCAGAGAAGCGCCCAAGATACTGACCCCACAATAGAAAATCATAATGTCCACATTTATTTCCCACAATCTCAAACGTCACACTAAAACTAAACTTTTAGCTCTGATTTAATTATTTCCTTATTGATATCTGTTTTCCCTTTGTTGTAGGCAATCCTCAGGTGTCAGCAGGAGGTGACCACCTGCATAACGGAGCACCCTGGTTCTGAGCCAGTTGCACCTTTGTGCTGCTCTTTGGGGAGGAAATGCTCAGCAGGTTCAACAACTGTAAAATTGATTTTGTTCGTAGATTTTGTTTAGATCTCATACATCACCAGTTTTTCTTTCTTACAGACACATGCCTCCATGTGGTCAGGTGGTGTTGGTGTGATCTGGGAGGGCACACTCATGTCGTCATCTCCTTGTGCCGTCTCCAGGATCATGATGGGATTTCTCTGTGCCTATAAAGCAGGGGTATTTACTTCTGGGCCTGGAGGGCCGGTATCCAGCACGTTTTAGTTTTAACTCTGTTTCAACACACCTGATTTCAGTCCGCAGGTAATTAACAGGCTTCTGCAGAGCTGCTGCACAGGTAATTCAACCACTGATTCAAGTGTGTTGGAGCAGGGAAACAACTAAAATGTGCTGGATACCAGCCATCCAGGACTAGAATTGATACCCCTGCTATAAAGCCTTCCTCCCTCCTCTGGACTTTAAACATTAGTATTTTATTATGGTTTACCTGCTTTAGTAAATAAATCTCAATTTATAAATTTCCTGTTTTGGTGCCAGTCCATAAAATCCTGCATTAGACACCGAAAGCTGAATGGATGCCTTTCATTCACTTTCACATTCAATGTATTTTTAAAGATACACTTGAAATTAATATCAGCTGTTTAACAGAGTGGTGCAAAATAATCGCTGATGTCATGATTTTTGCAACAACCTGACCTTCATGCAGAGAAACTCAGGAGACAAATGAGCTAAAAACAGTTTATTAAAATTGATGAATGATTGAAGAGGTAACTGCTGGAGATCAGGAACCAGAAGCTTCTGCGAGGAAGAGCAGAGGTTAGTAAGAGGCAACAGGTCAGGTTTTTCTTAGACTGTGCAGGTAGCTTACAGAGACTGAGAAACGCCACAGAGATGGAGCCACAGGTTTTAGTGTTTAAAGATCAGAAGGCCCTGAGGTAAAATTGAGTGTTAGTAATGACTAAAGAATGACATACAAAAGGAAAAGTTTAGGTACTTAAGGTCTGAAGTTGTAGCGCAGACGGGAGACAGCAGAATGGTGGAGAAACAACCAGAAGTCTGGGAGAATGACAGCATGAGTTGCAAGCGGGTGAGCAGAAGGTAGTGGGTAAGCCGACTGCCAGTATGGTTGTGTGATCAGGAGCTTCAAGGAAAGAATTCCCATAGATCTGCATAGAAAATGAGAACGTAAGTTTGAAAAACGGCAGAGTCATGGGCTAGATATGGGTTAAAACTCTGATGAGTGACCAGCTACCAGCTTTTATTCAAGGATGGGGTTACAGGTGTGAGGATGTGCCTGCCCCATGAGAAGAGTTTTCAGGTAAGCCTCTCCATGGTGCTCTGCAATGGTGACTAGCAAGGCTAATGAAGAGATTAAAGGGAACACAAACCCAGGACTCCGACCCAAACTCCTGACAGCAACACAACGACTCCTCCCACAGGCGGTTGTTCCACGGGAGTACAGTCACACGCAGCTGCCCGAAGTTCAGCATCAGGCAACCTGTAGGCGATGTAATCATACGTGGCTTCTGAGCATGCAAGTTTATTCTAGCCGTACGGTGTACAATAATAATAAAGATTTATATTGTGTTGTGTTGCTCACCTTACAGGTTCTTTTAAAATCTTAACCTGTGCCTGCTTAAAGCAGGTCTTTCAGGTCTTTTGAACTAGACACAGAGAGGTTCAGGCACAAGTACTTAGTCAGACTCCTGATATGGTAGAGCATCCACCACCACCGACTCGGACAATAGGTCCATATGCTTGTCAACTGTAAACAATGGAAAAAGATTACCATTAGTACAAATATTTATCCATAACCATCACTGTGGGTTTATTATACAGCATATGAACTACATGAGGTGGGATTGGTCTGCAGAAGGGATGTGTATTTTTGACTGAATTTTTTGTAGGAATATTCAATAAACAGTCCAAACTGATACTTAACATATATAACATGAGTTAAGCCGGGCGTACACTGTGCGACTTTTTCACTTTTTTGAGCCGATTTTCCAGTCGTGCAAGAATCCACGACATCGGGGCGAGTTTTGCGCCGAGCGGTCGTGTAGTGTACAGGGGGTAACGAGAGGTGATTAACACCACGTGACCAGCTGCCGATCAGCAATCGTGAGGTCACACGGACTTCTGGCGTGTTTAATATTTCGCTCGTCCCTCGTGAGGGTATCGCACTGTTGAAGCGGCGCTGCGAGCAGCTGCGACCCAAAATGTATCAGAACCGCTCACGGCGCATGCGCAATCCTGCATCAACGCCGCTCGCTCGCCATTTCCCTAATAACACACGTTGTTCGTTTTTATTTCTACACGTTTTTTTTACACACAAAGATTGTCAAGAAAGCATGCTTGTCGTGTTCATGTCAAATTAAACTGATCACAAAACACAGATTTACTTTCTTTATTTCGTTTTCCTCATCCAACCCCCATAAATCCCTGTGTGTCCTCCTGCAGCACTCCCGAAGGACAACAGGCAAAACAAGACAAAGTCTGACGTGTTGAGTAAAAACTGCTATTTTTAGCACATTTTTAGGGCCGACGTGTTGCTACCAGACGTACAGTGTGAGCAGTCAGGTCGCATCCGAGAACTGGGTCGTGCAGTGTGAGCGCCTGACTCGTGAGATCTGCCCTGCGAGGAAGTCGTACAGTGTGAGCTGAAGCTGAACGCTGCGAGTGAAAAAGTCGCACAGTGTACGCCCGGCTTTATCTGAACCATAATAGCGAGATTTAAATTTCAATGGTGGAAACAAAACCCAATGCACACTGCTGCCAACTAGCGGTCGACATTTAAAGTGCACCAAAACAAAGAAAATACACAAATGTTTGCATGTAAATTCTTCCAAAAATTAGATACACTGCTTTTGAAAATGGATGTAATATCTCAGGAAAAAATATCACGATATATTGCCATATCGATATTTTAGAGACACAGTTTGAGAATATCGATACAATATCACTGGGAAAATATATCGCGATATATTGTCATATTGATATTTTCTTACATCCCTTGTCTGCAGTGTACTTTGTGTACACTATGGTGTGTCTTAGCTCACCAGCTGCAGTTGATGAATGTGGCCGTGTAGCACTTCCATTGTAATGCAATGCAGTAGTTTTCAATCTAAAAAGAAAGAACAAATAAATAGAATCTATATTTTTGTCTAAAAGATATTTTTATGTAAAAATTAATTAAAAGCATGTATTTAACTCATTATTGATTATCTGCCCTGGATAACATTCTTTTGATGGAGAATACAGAACACGTGACAGAAAGAAAGAAGAAGAAAATATCATTTCTATAGCGCCTCTCAAGATAAAAATCACGAGGCGCTTCACAAAAACAAAAAATATAAAAATTGTAAAAATATAAAAAAGCATTTCGAAAATGTTTAAAATATATTTAAAATGAGCAAGAATAAGCTATTGCGATTTAAAAGAAAAAATGTTAAGAAAGAGAGAGAGAGTGAATAGGAAAGAGGGAAATCAGTGGATCCTGAGGAAGGTGGAATAGGTGGGGAGAGCAGAATAAAGAGAGAGAGGTGAAGAAGGTCATACAAAAGCCAGCTTGAACAAGTGAGTCTTCAGCTGCTTTTTAAAGGAGACCACTGAGTCCACTGATCTCAGGCTCAGGGGGAGAGAGTTCCAGAGTCTGGGGGCCACAGCAGCAGATGATCTGTCACCTTTGGTCTTTAGCCTGGTGCTGCACAACCAGTAGGCTTTGATCACTGGACCTCAGGGACCTGCTGGGGGTGTAGGGACTTAGAAGATCACCGATGTAAGATGGTGCTTGTCCATGTAAGGCCCTATAGACCAGAACCAGGATCTTGAAATGACGCCTGAAGTTGACTGGCAGCCAGTGAAGCTGGAGGAGAAACGGGGTGATGTGGGTGTGTTTGGAGGACTTGGTCAGAAGCCGAGCACAGGCATTCTGAACCACCTGTAGACGGTTCAGGGAGGTTCTGCTCAGACACGTGAAAAGAGAGTTACAGTAGTCTAAGCGTGAGGAGATGAAGGTGTGGAGCACAGTCTCAAGTTCAGAGCGGGACAGAATGGGACTCAGCTTAGCAATGTTCCTGAGATGGAAGAAGGAAGAGCGAACAAGAGAACTGACATGAGAATCCAGGGTGAGAGCTGGGTCAAAGGTCACACCAAGATTCCTGATGGAAGGTTTGGTGTGGGAAGCAAGCTGACCAAGAGAGTCTCTGACTTTGGGAACCAGCTTGTCTGGGGCACAGATGAGGATCTCAGTCTTATCTTCATTCAGCTGTGGAAAGCTCCCAGCCATCCAGGCTTTGATAGAGTCTAAGCAGGTGTGTAACAGCTGCAGCTTAGACATCTCATGGGGCTTAAAGGAGATGTACAGTTGGATGTCATCTGCATAAAGATGGTAGGAGATTCCTTTGAAGGAACTCAGGATGCGCTGAAGAGGAAGCAGATAGAGGAGGAAGAGCAGAGGCCCCAGCACAGAACCTTGTGGGACACCATGAGCAAGAGAGGTGGTGGAGGACCAAGGGCGTCAGTTTGTTTTCAGAATTGCTGGGGACAATAACCATACACTTGAGTGGGGTTTAAAAATTGCTGGGGACAATAAAGTAGGCTAGCACAGGGGTCGGCAATCCGCGGCTCTGGAGCCGCATGCGGCTCTTCCATCCATCTGATGCGGCTCTCTGGGCTTGTAAAATAATGAATGGATATTTAAATAAAATGCTTTATATTTTACTGCATTAATTTTACATCTGTATGCCAATTCTAAATGTAAAGATTGTCTGCGTAAACCTGAACAGGTCCAACCCGGTCTGCGGTGGTTGACCGGTCACGCTTGTGCGTAATCATATAGGCACTTTATGAGCTGAAGAGGATGTGAGATTCTGGGATTCTCCTCAGACGGCTCCTGGATGTGTCGCCACATTGGAGACAGGAACAAGCACTATTCAGCCAAAGTTTCATAATCAGGGAACATTTTCTAAGTGACAAGTCTCTCTGAGAGACAGGGTTTGGAAAACACTCGCTTCAGTGGGAGGAATCTTCCCGCATGCGCACTGCATGGTTCTCTGGGTGGCTCTGGGGTTAATCAAGTTTAATTGTTTCTCTTTGCAAAAATCTTCACAGGAAGGCAAAACAGTTAAACGGCAGGTTACATATATTTCCATTTGACTATTTATTTTGACAGATGAACTCAAGGATGTTGCTTGGTTTGAAAGAATTACCCCGACGCACACTGATGCGCATGGATGAGCTGACATTTTAATCGTTAACGCACACGCGGAGGTAAAATATTCCCATCAGAACATCAGAGCTTTATACTGGACACTGTGTTCAGCGCGGCTCGGAGCGCCCACGGTGGACAGTGAGCTGAAGATCTGGGGTTCCAGCGCAGTGCAGAACCACGCGCATGCGATAGGATTTCCTCCCACTGAAACAGTCTGGAAACCCGGTCTCTCTGAGGGATGTGTCACTTGGAAAAATGTTCTTTTATGAAATTATGAAACTTTGGCTGAACAGCGCTTGTTCCCGTCTCTAATATGGAGACGCATGACGCGTAGAGACATTTGATCACGCACAAAGTTTATGTGGAGCAGAAGCGGTCGGGCCACTGCAGGTGAAACGTTCCTAGCCTACATGAAGTGAAACTGTTTAATTGTAACATTAATATGTTACTGGACACGCTGGTCTGGTTGGTTAGACCAGTGTTTGAAGTGGAAAACACACACACACACACACACACACACACACACACACACACACACACACACACACACACACACACACACACACACACACACACACACACACACACACACACACACACACACACACACACACACACACACACACACACACACACACCAATTAAAATAATGCTGATAGCGTGGACTAGAAGCCAGGTGATGGTTTACGTATTTAAATGATGATCAGGCTGCTGTAAAATGTAATCTCCATCCACATCCAGACACAATTATCCTCTAGTCTTTCTCTAGTCGCTCTGCTCTTCTCTGGGCTGATCAGCTGATGGTGCGCGCGACGCGCCTAACTAGCGGCTGATGCACATTTTACGCATTTGGAGAGGTGGGCTGGATGCTTTGCGTTTACTGGAAGATGGTCCACTTAACGCACGGGTGTAGACTACATATTAATGACAAATGAATGAAAATTAAATTGTGAGTTTTTACTTCATATTTTATAAATAAAAAGGACGGGGGAACACATTTATGACGTCTTTTTAAACGAAATGCTCTAGCGCGACCTGCCTGCTTCACTTAAGTCACAGCTTATTAAGGTCCGTCCAGAATTACCGTGGGAAATGGGTAATAATGGCTCTTTGATGGGAACAGGTTGCCGACCCCTGATAAGATCTGAGCTGGTAAAACAAAAATCCTCATCAGCAGGCGTTTTTGAAAGTGTGGGGGGGGGGGGGGGGGGGACAAAGCTGCCAATCACAAATTTTGCCGGGGACATGTCCCCGGCGTCCCCGGTTAAAATGACGCCTATGTGGAGGACCTAAACTTGGAGACGGCCACAGAAATGGAGTACTCAGAGAGATAAGAGGAGAACCACTCCAGAGCAGATCCTGATAGGCCTACCCAGTCTCTCAGCCTCTCCAGTAGCAGGTGATGGTCAACAGTGTCAAAGGCTGCAGTCAGGTCCAGCAGGACCAGAACAGAACAGTCTCCTGCATCACTGTGAGTCAGAAGGTCATTAGAGACCCTAAGAAGAGCTGTTTCAGTAGAATGAGCTCTACGAAAACCTGACTGTAAGCAATCATAGATGTTATGTTCATCAAGAGCAGCTGTGAGTTGTTTAGCCACAACCTTTTCCAAGATCTTCGAGATGAACGGAAGTTTAGAGATGGGTCTGAAGCTGCTGTGGAGAGAGGGGTCGAGACTCGGTTTTTTAAGAAGCGGGTGGATCACAGCGTTCTTAAAGTAAGCAGGGACCTGACCAGAAACCAGAGAAGCATTAATTATAGAAAGCACGCTGGGACCGATGGACTGAAAAGCACTTTTAAACAAAGATGAGGGTAAGATGTCGAGGGGGCATGCAGAGGTCTTCATAGAGTTAACAATGAAGAAAGCACATTGAATCTGATTTGTCTTGTTCTGACAAACAAATGTCAGATCTGTATACTGGAAAGAAATTTATTATCAAACATACTCACTTGGATAATTATTCAGTCAGAGTTACATCATAAAATCCATTCGTTTCACTGAAAAAGGAGCAGGCAGAACTATGAACTTGTTTAGCCCATCCAAGTAACATGGAATAAAAATTACATGTATCTGTATGTAAATGTAGTTTAAATGTCTTCCCACAATAGCTCATGTAGATTCTGTCTGAGTTATACCATAAAAGTCCTGCAGTTCCACTAAAAGAGTATTTACCTGCAAAACAGCCTGTTAGCTCAGCTTTCTGCTGCTTCCTCTGTAGCAAGTTAGCAGTACACAGGTTAGCTCCAGTAGCTGCAAAGTCTCTGATGTTCCACAGGTTCCTGAAAAATTAGCAAACTTATTAACATAAACTGCAATAATTTATTCCATGAAACCAGTAATGAATATGTTAAGATGAGTTTTTAATACATCTCTCTGGAACAATAGACCATTGTCCTGAGGCTAGCACAATGGCTTGCTTAGCAGCTAGCTAGTGAGCTAACGTCTGGTTAAAACCAACTTAAAAAGTGGCTTAACTTACAGATTAACTAAGAAAAGATAAAATATATTATCAATACTCACTTTAGATCCTCAGTAGACACCACAGACAGCAGAAATAACGTGTTTGGGGCTCAAAATTCATGTTGTTGACCAGGTGGAAAAAAAATGTCTTGGAGGCTACATCACTTCCAGGTCACTGAACTGTCACTCAAGAGAAACCACTGTCCTATGGGAGAGGACTTCTCAGAAGTCCCGCCCACCCGAAAGGGTTGTGTCAGAATTGCAACCAAAAACTCAGGGATTGCAAAGGAGAAAGCCAGACAGTGTAAGTGCAAATCTGGTAGTGAGAGCAAAGCTGTGAGCAGCGAGAACAAAACTAAGGACATTGATAACAAAAATACATAGAGGCAAACAGAAAAAGGAAACATACTTTGTTACTCATTTTAAGAAGTTGATTCAGATCGTAAGTTTTTCTTTTGAAACAAATGTTTTTTCTCTCAATGTCTTAAAATTTGTTTGCTCTCCAAAGTGTTTTTCTTGATCCTATTGGCACAAATCTAGTCCCATAGATTTAGCTCTTCATTGGGGATGGTCCTGTTCCTTCTGTTACATAGCTAATTTTATTTCATTCATGACAACATAGACTGTATCAGGCTTTGACTGGCAGAGGGGAAACACGTGAAATAGCATGTAACATGCACTGAACAAAAATGTAAACGCAACACTTTTGTTTTTGCTCCCATTTTTCATGAGCTGAATTCAAACATCTTAAACTGTTTCAACATACACAAAACACCCATGACTCTAATATTGTTCTGAAATCTGTCTACATGTGTGTTAGTGAGCACTTTTCCATTACCAAGGTAATCCATCCCAACTCACAGGTGTGGCATATCAAGGGGCTGATTAGACAGCATGAATAATGTACAGGTGTACCTTAGACTGCCCACAATAAAAGGACACGCTGACATGTGCACAGTTTTGCTGCTTCAGATATTCTTGTTGATGAAACAGAAAAACTTTATCCACTTGTGGTAAAACGTTGCTAATGAGGGTGGGTGGCAGTGTTACCAAGTCGTCTGCTCATCTGGTTTCTTCGTACTTTATTGAAATCTGGACATAAACAAACACCGTCCACCATGTTCTCTCTCCTGTTTGTCTCTCTGACATCATCTCTTACCTTTTGTAGTTCTTCTTGGGGTTGTCCAGTAATCGGAAGGTTGCAGGTTCGATCCCAGTTCCGGACAGAGAATTCTGCTGTTGTGTCCTTGGGCAAGACACTTAAACCCCCCTGCCTGCTGGTGGTGGTCGGAGGGACCGGTGGCGCCTGTGCTCAGCAGCCTCGCCTCTGTCAGTGCGCCCCACGGCAGCTGTGGCTACATCGTAGCTCATGACCATCAGTGTGTGAATGTGTGTGTGAATGGATGAATGGACTGTAGTGTAAAGCGCTTTGGAGTCCTTACTCTGAGAGGCGCTATACAAGTGCGGATCATTTATCATTTATCATTTAAACATCGACTACAAAACACAGAAAACATCAAATGGATTTCATTGAGTCCTGGTATTACTTTGTTACATCTTCAGCTTTACCATTATCGTCAAAATCCTCAGAGTAGGGCTGGCAATAAATCGAAAATTTATCATTATCGAAATTTCTGACCCTCATCGTGATCATTTTTCCCATGTCAATAAATTGGATATTAAAAAAATGAAAAGATGTGTGTAGGTTGGTAACGCTCATGTTCCTTTAAGAAGTTGTACCACATTGAGTCACTTAAAAATGTGACTCAACGTAATACACGTGACAGCCCCATCTAGTGGACAATTTTAGTTTCTGCGCATACCTGTAGTTATTGTCCATTTATTGTTATCGGGGTGAAACCCTCAATATATCGTGATATTGAATTTAGGCCATATCGCCCAGCCCTACCTCAGAGATACTGTGATGAATCTTTTTGGGCCATGTTGCTCATCCCTAGTGAAGGGAGTAGGCAGACTTTAACTTCCTGAATGTACAAGTTCTGTAGATCTTTGCCTTGGGATTCCTCCGGAGGAGCTGGCCCAAGTGGCTAGGGAGAGGGAAGTCTAGGCCTCTCGACTTAGGCTACTGCCCCCGCAACCCAACTCCGGATAAGCGGATGAAAATGGATGGATGGACAAATAACAGATTTACATGTAAGTAATTTAAATAGAGTGCTGTGCTGTTTGAATGTATAAACTGAACGCCAAGAGAAATCACTAGTTTGATTTTTTTTCCGTGAATAAAATAAATATGTCAGGCAGGAGCGTCTCAGGATCTGTCTGATATCCGTCTCGGTGAGACAGATAATAGCAATCCAAAGTGCTTTTTATGTGTGTGATCTGACAATTGATCAACCATTGCTTAAAAATGAAATACAGCTTAGCCGGTTAATTGTTGTGATCATAAAACACGTAAACGGCAGCATGCAGAAATCACGAGGCAACATTTTATGTTATGTTTACTTGTTGCTATGAGTAATAAGACAGAAAAAGCCACGGCAAAATAAGTTTAGGAAGCCCACTAAGAATCGTAATAAAAGCATTTAAAATAAATACCATACACAGTTGAGGGGGGAAAAGAGTTTTTCTTTCTACTCAAAGATAAACATCTGATCAGATACACAACAGATCTGTTTTTGTCGTCATTTTCCAGTCATTTATTCCCAATCAGCCTGCCTGGATCTGTTTGGTCTTGTCCCAGGAACAAACTCTTTTTTTCTTCATAGTTTCCAGTTCTCCACAAAGCTGGTTTTCCTGTTTTTGACATTGTTCTCTAGCTGCTCTTTTCTGTAACTTTAAAGATCCGCCCAAATGGGATCTGTTTCATCCCCTTTGTCTTGTACAGCTCCCTGGATCATTCGCGTTTACTATTACATCTTTTCACTTTAGAAATTCAAACCCAGCACATGTGAGCTCCTTCCTCCCTTTTACCTAATTAAAACTTTATTATCTAATTAAGCAGACAAGGTTTATTAATCCTCTAATCAACAACCAGGAATAAACTGAGTTAGGATAATGTGTTCCTGGTGTCTGCTCTGTCAGTGGGATGTTAAATATTTTTCAGGGAGACATTAATGGTTAGGTAGTGAGTAGGGTATAATGTGAATTATGGGTAATTATAGAGGGACATTAATTAGTTGTTAGAATGTGCTCTGAGATTTTGATCCTAATATTTTCCCTTTTACCTGAGTTTGAGTTCGGTGGAGCTTGAATGAGTCAGGGGTGCCCAGTCCTGGTTCTGGAGGACCGATATCAAGCATGTGTTAGCTGTTTCAATGCTCCAACACACTTGAGTCAGTGGTTGACTCATCTCTTCAGCAACTCATCACGCCCTGTCAAAGCCTGTTAATCACTTACTAATTGGAATCAGGTGTTTTAAAGCACAGAAACAGGATATTGGCCCTCAAGGACCCGGATTGGGCACCCTTGATATAGAGCACAAATAAACATGAATTACAATGGTGCTAGTTCAAACTCACATGGTGTCAAAGAAAAAAGGCAATATTGTTTTGAATTGAATGGGCTAAACAGTTGACAATTATCCATCTGTCCATTCATTAAACCAAAAAACCAACCAACCAACCAACTATAAAGCAAACTAGCAAACCAATCAACCAGCCATAAAACCAGCCAACCAACCAACAAACTATATAGCCAACCAACCAACCAGCAAACCATATAATCAACAACCAATCAACCAACCAACCTACCTACAAACCATATAGCCAACCAACCAACAAACCATATAGCCAACCAACAAATCAACCAACCAACCAACCAACCAACCAACAAACCATATAGCCAACCAACCAACCAACCAACCAACTATAAAGCCAACCAACCAACCAACCAACCAACTATAAAGCCAACCAACCAACCAGCAAACCATATAATCAACAACCAATCAACCAACCAACCTACCTACAAACCATATAGCCAACCAACCAACAAACCATATAGCCAACCAACAAATCAACCAACCAACCAACCAACCAACCAACAAACCATATAGCCAACCAACCAACCAACCAACCAACCAACTATAAAGCCAACCAACCAACAAACCATATAGCCAACCAACCTTGATGTTGTAATGTTGGAATAAAAAAATGGAAAACAAATTACCTCTCCAAGTAGTTGCCAAAGGATTTGGTATGGTTTCCCAGAGTTAAAAAGTACCAGCAATGTAAGACAACAATGAAAGTGGAATAATAAAGATCCTTTGAGACAGAATTGCGTCAAGAAAATATGCACGCCAGTCGCACACCGGTTGCAATTTTCTTGCAATTTTGTTGTACGCCCCACATGACCTAGCCACGATTTTTTTGAGTTGTAATTACAAGTTCGTTATAGTTTCAGACTTGTGTCTCCAACTAGTTGCAGCTGAGTGTGAAACTGGTTTATCCCATGAAGGCAGCTTGTAGCATGAGGCAAGAAAATAAAAGCTTAAAAACAAGCTCAGATAGAAACTATGTATCTGGTTCCTGTTTGACTGTTTTTGAATCATTTACATTTTGTTTTTAATAAAATTTGTACACTTAGGCTAATCTCCTATTTTATTGTAATTGTTTATATCAAGTTAATGAGGTTGTAATTCATCTCTAAGAGGCCCATAAGTGTTTGCTTCATAATGTTTATTTAGAGGACAGATAAATTAAATCTTTATAAGGTCACACCCATAGCTATACAGCAGGTACTCATCCCGTAAAACAAGAAATACTAAACTTTACAATACTGTTTACAATTTCCTATACTGGTTCTTACTTTGTCAACAGTCTACACACTACACACCCTCACACAGAGCTATCAGTAGTTTAATAAACAGGCTTTTAGCAGCCAGTTAAAAAAACAACCTGTAGGTTAAATTATCTGCAGAATAACTGGATAGACATGAAAAAGAAATACCAACCAACATCTTTAGCCCTGCTGCAGCCTGCTGTAGCTAGGGCTAACAAAATGCTAACACTAACATGAGCCAATTAATACTAAAATAAACAACAAAGTAAAAAGATCCACACTGTTGGACAAAAATAAATGACTTAAAAGTTCAGTAGCAACAAAGCCAGGTCACCATCAGCCTGTGATTTTGTAGCCTCCTTAAGCTTCCTCAACTAGTCTAGGCTGAACTGATGTTCACTCTGGTTTTAGCTCTGTGCTTTGCCTCTAAAGACATTTCTCTCTTACTTTTACTTTCAGACTCTGCCGTGATGCCAACAAAAAAGGCAAACTTCTTTTTTTCTTATTCTTGTGCTTTTTATTGATCATTGGAGAACTGAAAAAGCTAACTGCTAGCATTGCAGCTAACAGGTGTAAAGCACATAAAGATCACCCCGTAGGACACTTACCTGCTCCACAAAACTATTAAGTGTGGTTTTTGATCAGCAGAGGGCTGCAGAGTCATGTCAGATACGAAACTGGTCATGTTTCTAACTCAACAATCACTGAAATCAATGTTAAAGCTCTAGATTCAAGTTTAAAAAAACAATCTAGTGTTGCTTTAAATTTAAGAGGCTTTTTGGGGTCTTATTTCAACAGTGGACCCTAACAAAGGGTCCGAGATAGGAGGGGATTCAAATTGTATTTAAAGTTTGGAGGTGAGTTTGCTGTTTTAGCCAGGTTAGGGATGAGAATGTGAGGTTAGGAAAAACAAAACTAGAAAAATGTGTGTGCGTGTGTGTGTGTGTGTGTAACAAAGCAGGTTAGACTGAATATTTAGTAGATGAGATGTTTATTTACACAAGCCATAAAATGGTCATACACGCTTGTGCACTCAGTGCATTATTTTCATGTACAGTACTTAAATACAGAATATAAGACATTCAGACAGACATTATTCATGTTGGACACTGTTAATTCACATTAAAGTCACAGTTTGTCTCACACATCCACACAAACATCACACCCTTTCAACAACATAATGCACACCATATTCACTCTGGAGCAAATCTCAACCACTACACCGACAGGAAGATACCAGTCACTGAACATTTTTATGCTAAGCTCAACAATAGAAGCTGTAAAAAGCAGTTTTATCTAAATTTTTATATTTCGATGTTTCTATCACACAAAAATATAAATGCTGCCTTCATGTCCTCACATTTCCAAAAAGTAACACGACAGGTGTGTTTCCTTTACCGGAACGTCAGGGTAAATGCAGCGAGGGGAGAAATTGACCGGGAGATCCGAAGGCCCGGTCCTCTTAGCTGTCGTGTCTACATTTACAGTTGAGCCCTAGAATGTGACCTCTGCGCTGTGACATCAATTGGCGCAGAACGCACCAACAACTCATGTTTTCAAAAACACCTGCCCCGTATGCCTTTCCTATTTCCTACGTCGACGTCATTTCCGACTGAATCACAACCAGTCGGTGGCGTTCATGCCCACCACGTTCACCAGGCCTCCTACTGGGCCACATCGAGTACCTACCTCTGAGCAGGTACTCAGAAGGTTCCTGAAAACAGCCCGAAAAATGGTCGGTCGGCCGCTATGGTCAAGTGGTGACACGCGCATGTCAGAAGATTCCGGTGAATTTACCCTGAAGCTCCCGTAATGGAAACACAGCTATTTTTAAGACCTTTTTATGCAACTCAGTTTAATCAAGTTAGTTTCCCCACTAGTTTATTGTTGACGGGAAAAGTCTCCCAGAAATTTGCAATGGTTTGTCACATATGTCGTAACATTGATCCCAGAGCGAATTCACCACAGTGAAACACAAAGAATTAGGGATGCACCGATACCGATATTGGTGCCGATACCAGTATCGGTATCGATAAAAGTTAACCGATACCAGGAACCGATACCAGTGCAGTTACTTGAAAGTGACTTCACTGTAACTTGTCATTTCTGTTCACCTAATATTTTAGTTTTGTGGTCATTTCTGTTAATACATCTTATTTGTTATCTACCTCACAGTCTTTTCCTGTTGAAAGCAGAGAAGAAAATAAAACACGAAGTCCAATTCATTGCATTTTTTTGTGTGGTAGAAGTATTGGTATCGGTAATCGGTATCGGAGAGTACTTGGATCCAAGCATCGGTGTTGTATCGGTTCGGAAAAAAGTGGTATCGTTGCATCCCTACTAAAATTGTTTAAGAGACTAGTTGAAGAACATTCTTACCTAATTATATGGTCTGTTTCTGGGCAGTTTGTAACACTAAAGCAGACCGTATGGATGTTTCCATTGGTTTAAACCCAACCTGTATTTTAATCACCACTTGGTAGATGAACTTTGGTCAATTTGAGGTTTTAATTCAAGATGATCACAATCATCTCCTTTTATACACTGACAAAATGTAAGAGGCTCTTTTTCCTCTTTTAGAACAGAACTTTAGACAAAAAAATGTTAAATAAAAGATAAATTTCAACAGGATCCCTTGTACAATAAGTTGGTTCAAATAGAACCTTCAGGTTTATAATGAAACCTACCCTTTAGCAGATGTAGTAAAGCTATAGGTTCATAGATTTTTTCACAGAAACCAAGTTCCGAAGGATATGAATCCTGATTTTATTAAATGAATGTAACATTGTGGGTTTTTATTTGTTTAAACTCATAAAATTTGCTCTTCTGGGTAGCCTTTAGAAAACCTTTAAGTCCTTGTTTGTCCAAAATGGTCTTGCTGAAATTGATCTCATCACGAGCGTTACTGTACTATTTTATGAGGATACTGACCTGATGTTACTGTATGACTGTTAATTATTTGCAGTTTTACAAAGCGCTTTAAAGTGTTTCTCACACACACACACACACACACACACACACACACACACACACACACACACACACACACACACACACACACAATGAATACTAAAGGAGAGAAGCTGCCATGCCAGGTGCTGATTTACCATCAGGAGCAGTTTTATTTTAGTGTCTTGCTCCAGGACACTTTAGCAAGAGGTTAAAGCAGGATTCAGACCATCAACCTGATTTGTTACCTCATGCAATTAAGCTACATAATGAACATGTAAATGAAATACTAGCTGAAAGTGGGGGGGCTCCATCGGTGTGAACTGGAGGGCTGGGGTGGGGTTGTTAAGCTATTGCTTGGCCAAATTTAGCCGTTGCTTTAGCAACCCCAAGCTATGTTTGACCTGCCCAACAAATGCATGGGAAGGTTTAGGTTTAATGTGGAAGTAAACTTAAAAAGAATCTAGTTTGACAGCCAAAACATGTATAGAAATAATAAATGTCTTCTTCATACATTCTCCTGCAATGCCCTGGTCCTGTAGAATGAGCCCTGGCATTTTTACTGTGATTGCCTGTTTTTCTGTAAAGTCACAGAAAAAGAGAGATGCTCGGGTCGAGCAGGCTGCTTCATGCGCGTTCTCGCTCAGGCATAGCCCGTAGCATTTGCTATTAGTAGCTTTAGCAGCAGAGAGAGAGGCAGTGGCAACTCAGCCACTTTGTCGCTGTTCCTAACGCCTAGTGATGAACCTAGCAGCTACATTTCTGAGGACCCTTAGCTACTTTCTGTAGAACTTTCTTCTAGATATTTCCTGCAAATTAGCAAAAAAATAGCCATTTTTGCTCCGAACCGTTCTTTGGTTTGACGTTGTTTCAGGTATCATCAAGGATATAAATGCTCCAGATACGTCAAATGTTACTAGAGTGTAGCTCACCTTGTAAGATGTCTGACTCTCATGCAGAAAACCTGGGTTTGATTCTGGATGTGAACATAGTTCATTTAGTTTCTTTTTTACACTAATGGTATATTTTTTTACAGTAAGACGCCCAAATTTTTATTTGAGACTTGCCGAACGGCATTGAATTCACAGATGAAAAAGATGTGGGTTCAACTTTCATTTTGGAACAATTTTTCAAGCAAGGGAAGGGAATGATCTGAGCATGCAGGAGGACTGACCCATCATAAACCTTTGTCGGCTGTGCTGAAGAGAAAGGTACAGAACCAAATTATTTAATTAATTAGCTGTGTGTTCTCCTGTCCTCTGTCCTCCGGGCCACACACACACACACACACACACACACACACTGCACGTTCGGCTGGCTGACGAGAAAGTGCAGCTGCAGAGACAGAGGCACATTATTTTTATTAATTTCCTGTGTTCTTCTGTCCTCCGGGCCACACACACACACACACACACACACACACACACACACACACACACACACACACACACACACACACACACACACACACACAAGGGACTATCTCAGCAGTTATTTTCGTCAAGGACTGTGCACGTACAGCATGCACGCCTCGTGCACGAGCCTACTATTGAAGCTGCCATTACGCTTTTGGCCTGAGGGGGCAATCACGAGCATAAAAATTCTAAAGTCCGAAAAGTCCCTTTAAACATAACCAGTGAAGTCGGTTATGGCCGTAAATCGGTGTGATAAAACTGGATCTAAAGGAAAATGCGAAACTTGAAACAAGGTGCAGGGTTACGGTTTCTTTAGCAAATTTATCACCAAGTTTCTTAATTATTTGTTTGCAGTTAATCCTAATTTTATTACTTTTTTAAAAAAATATCGGACTCTCCTCTTGGTGTCCAATGGGCCACCATTTTAGTCAGCACATTTTCTCTGTGTGGAAAAATCATGGTAATTATAAAATACGCACATTTTTCCACTGGAATCCCACAGAATTGTTGCATATTACTTTAGTAAAGCTGTTAATAATTAAAAAATTTGTTTATTTTGTGAATGTTGTGCACATTTTTGTTGCAATTTAGTCACAAAGTTTAGAACTTTGTTTGCAAGCTGACGTCATTTCAGTTGTAATATTTGCTGAATAGTAAATGTTCCTTATTGGTCGCCAAACAGTGAGATTTTAGAATCTCACTGGGTTCAGAACAAAGAATTGGTGTAAAACGTGTGCACTGTTGTTTGGGATTGTTGAATCCATACAATTACATTAAATACATTTATAAGTCCTTTTGGAAACTCCTCAGCAAACATCATTCACAACTGGCCGCCAGCAGTTGCAGCCCATTGAGATCCTTTTTGTAGATAAGGTGAGTAATTTCAGTGTGATGATTTCTGTTTGGTTGTTCGGAACAGGATTCCCTGACTGAGCTGGTAAACAGAGCAGCGTTTTGATACAAAAAAAAAAAAAAATCGTAGCAGCAACAAAGGCGTCAGTCGAGCCACCAGTGGATAACTCTGTTTGCTTAAACAACTAACTGAAAAGCTTAAACTGTGCAGCGATGCACTATAATCAACAGGAATCTGCTTGAGGTCTCTTATCAGTTGGCAGGAGCTGTAATGATACTGGAAAACCCAGAAAGTAAACATGGGAGAGACGCTGCAGCTCTGGATCCCACGGGATGGCACACTTCCCAGTCATGTGTCTAATAAAGAAGTCCCAGATCTCTACCGAGGTCATACTTTGTCCTCGGTGTACGTCGTCTGTAGATGACTACGATGGTCATCTTTAGCTTGTGATGTTTTACACGCAGAACTGCTAAACCTCCCCAGGGGCGCGTTGCAGAAAGACACCCAGAAAAAGTTCAGCACACCAGGAGAGAGGAAGATGAAGACCCAGGGGTCGATGATAGAGGTAAATGAGATGAAGCGGAGGGCAACCAGGTCCATTGGATGATTCTCGTGAGTTGTTGTAGAGTTGATGTACACCCGGAACTGTGAGACCAACAGAGAAAGCACAGAAGACATGGTTTAAAACCCAGTTCCTGCCTTAGACGTCCTTGAAGACATCCTGCTCATTAATCTAACCGTAAACCTGTTGGAGCGGCAGCAGAGGAAGAGTTGTTTATAAATAACAAACAACTAAATTTTAAGGAAATGCACAAGAACACAGGACGTTTTGTTTCTGATCCTGTCAATAAAATAACAATCCGAGCCTTACATCACATCAGTTAGATTCGAGTTTACCGAGGGTTAAATGTCACGCCTGCTTGATCAACACGCTGTGTGATTTTATCTCTGTGGAGAGGGCAGTAATGCGCCCACCGGATGTTTACGGAGCACGCAGTGAAGTTCTCAGACAGGAAAGTTTATTCCCCTTCTCTAGAAGGCTACTGAGGCTGAATGTGTGATCGTGTGTTTTGTGCTTTTATGAGAGGCAGATGTTGATTTCTGAGACGGATACAGATTCCCATGCTGACATCACACGACGACGACTCTTTATTGGAATGTTGTGGACTACACAGCATTTGTGAACAGATTTGAACCCTTTAAGACCTGCCAGTGAAGTTCACCAGAACTTATATCCACATTTTTACATGCTGTGGTGCCATTTTTTGGAGTATTTTAACCTGCTATACATCAATACAACCTGTAACGTCCAGGAATGGTCAGTTTTCACCTACAGATTGACCTACATGCCACCGGTCATCTACAGACCTAATTCCACCCTCTAAGGTGGATTTTACATTCTATCTTCCAACAAGCCACAAGGTTCTGCAAACCTTGTTGACATTTCAGGAGGAACAAGATGTCAGCCTGTGTTCCCAAACAAAGCCTTCTTTTGATAACACCGCAGGATCGCTCACTCTTAAGAAAAAGGAACTTTTACAACTCATGCGTTAAATAATCATTAAATAATAATATGGTTGAATGAACAAACGTTATATGAATACTAATGAAATGTTTTGATTAATCTGCTTAAATTACTGTGGTTGAAATGAATTTAATTATTACAATAAAACATTTAGGTGTTATGATCAGTAATGTTTGATATAACAAGTGAGTCAGTATCTACACTCAGACACAATGTTCATTAGAGATAAATTAAAGTTAAAGTAACGTCACTCCGCATAGATATTTTCTAGAGGTGCTGAAAAAAATCGATTCAAGTCTGAATCGGGATTCTTATTAATAAAGGTTCAGAATCGATTCCAGGAACTCAAATATTTGGCATGTTACAGGTTTGAGACACACTTTTTTGATCTTTGTTAGGAGAGTCTGTACTCCGTTTACTTTTGTGGTCCCATAAATTGAGATGATTTATGTTTGATTCTGCTGATAAGAGGGCACTTGAATGTAATTGTTTCCATACTCAGAAATTTGAGATATTCTCATATTTATTTTCTAAGTTGATAAATGAGTACTCAGGATTACTCATGTAACTTGTTTCTACACATACTTGAAAAGTATTCGACCGTATTACTTTCAAAGCTACTGTTAGGTAACTACAGATTTGTTATATTTTACAAGGTAAGCAAAAATAAATGTTGCCTTTTGGTCAAAACATTGCTTCTGTTTACAGTTTTAGAATCGCTTTATTTTACATTGTAAATTATCATTTTTGGAGCATGACCAGTTTAAAGTGAAATAAAAATGTCCCATAGCTTTAACTAACTTGTACAACAAAGTAATTAATCCTGGAGCTATAATAATATAATTTCTTACTTTTTATAAACCTGACTCTGCCTGAATTGATATGAAGTGTGTTTGATCCCTGAAAAAGCAAAGAATCCTAGAATATTCTGAATAAACATCCAAAGACCAAGCAGGTTGGTATTCTATATATAGAGAATCACAGCTTATTGGTCATAAGTAAAGGTAATATATTAAGCTCAAAAGCAACAATATTTAACCCTCTACAAACCCTTACACTCAAAATTTTAATAATATTTATGTAAAATGTTCAGAGCAACTAAATATTTTACTACAAAAAGCAATTATCCATAAAGAAATAGAAAATCATTTTTTGTTTTTACACATTTTTCATTATACAGAAATGCCACACCTTTATCCCTCAAAAATGTCAAAAAAAAAGTTGCACACGATCCTTTAAAAAAATACAAATTTATTTGAAGTGCTTTCATAAATTAGTTTCTGAGATACACTCATTTATATAAACTGTAATAAAAACGAAAACATAAATAATAATAATCAGCAGGAGTCTAATGTAATAATAATGTTGAATATTTGTAGCAAATGCTTCAGTAGTATACAGTTTTCATTTTCTCTCACTAATAATAATTACAATAATAAAGAATATTACATGAATAGAGGAAATAGAAACTTAAACATCATCCGGTGCTTTAATGGCGCCAACCGCTTTGAGGAGGGAAGATGTACCGTTTGGCGCGTCCGCGATTCATCAAAACGTTCATAGTGGTGTGTGAGTGGGTCAGGAGTTTGTAGTGGGTGTGTGATGTGTGTAGGATGTGTTTATCTAAACGTATTATTGCGACAAAGCACAAGAAAAAGCTGAAAGGCTGGGACTACAAAGAACTAGAATTCGCGGGAAACTGACGTCAAAGCAGGTGATTGGATAAGTGACAATCATGTGACAGTTCACATTGACAACGTGATGACGTTTATTCTAGCGGGTGAAGCCATGTGAGCTGCAGATCAGAATGACACAGCATCTGTGTCTGAATGAAAACGCTTTTCTTATTTGCGCATTTTGGTTGTTTTCATTAGCGGAGATACCATACCACTTTATTTGTTGAGCGCTTTCAACACAACATTACAACCGACCAAAGCGCTGCACATGAAAACAAATAATAAAAAACCCAAGCTAAAACAGTCGTGTATATCATCCATCCGTTTTCTGAACCCGCTGGGTACACCTTGGACAGAGAGCCAGTCCATCGCAGGGCAACATAGAGACACAGGACGAAGAATCACACACACACACACACACACACACACACACACACACACACACACACACACACACACACACACACACACACACACACACACACAAGGACAATTTAGACAGACCAAATAACCTAACAGTCATGTTTCTGGACTGTGGGAGTTAGCCGGAGAACCCACGCATGCACAGGGAGAACATGCAAACTCCATGCAGAAAGACCCAGAAGCGAACCTAGGACCTTCTCGCTGCAAGGCAACAGCTCTAACCACTGCGCCACTACGCAGCCCTTCGTGTTCATCATATGAAGTAAAAAGATAAAAGAGTTAAAAGAACAACAGACTAAAACCAATAGAACAAGTAAAACCAGAATATAAAAACACAAATTTAAAATTGAACAAACAAGGTGGAAAAACTAAGGATGAGTTAATGCTTTATGGTTTGGGAGTTGAAGGCCAGGGAGAAGTCGTGGGTTTTCAGGCGTGATTTAAAAACGGCAATAGAGGGTGCTTGCCTAACCTGAAGAGGTAATGAGTTCCACAATTTTGGGGCACAGACAGAAAAAGCCCTTTCCCCGCGGGTCTTCAAACGTGCCTTAGGGACTGTTAGAAGGAGCTGATCTTCAGACCTAAGAGCACGAGGAGGGTAGTAGTAATGGAGGAGTTCACACTGATAGGGAGGTGCCTGACTGTTCAAAGATTTGATTGCGAGAAGCAGAATTTTTAAATTGATTCTGAACTGAACCGGCAACCAGTGAAGTGATTTAAGAGTGGGTGCAATGTGCTGTCTTCTGTCAGCTCCAGTCAGGAGATACGCAACACTCTGGGACGTGTTCAATGTGTGAGATGTAAGTGTAACTCCTCCGGTTTAATATGAAATCATTTTTTGTTCCATCTTATATAGTTTCAGTTCTACAAGCATTTGAATACAGAAATGCAAACGGAAGCGCCGGCGCTCCCGTCGGTCTTAAAGGGTTAAACTGTAACGAGAAGTTTGAGTTATAAAACTTAGACATTCTGTCTGAGTGTGTCCCTGCAGAAATGTAATTTCCTGATTAAAATTTAAGCTGCTGCTGAGTTTTTAAAGGATCAAACTCACATTTTGTAGGGATGGGTACCTTTGACATTTGAATCGATTCGGTACTAATTCCCGGTACCTAGGAATCGATACCGGTACTTAACGGTACCAATTTTCAATACTTTTGAGTGTTTCATATTTTAATTCTCTTTTATAATTAAATATATATTTTTCTCAATATATAACCATATTTGATAAATATCACAATAAATAACATACAACTGTTTGTATTTTAACATCGTCCTTGTAGAAGAAGAAGAAAATATCATTTCTATAGCGCCTCTCAAGATAAAAATAACGAGGTGCTTCACAAAAACAAAAAATATAAAAAATTGTAAAAATATATAAAAGCATTTAGAGAATGTTTAAAAATATATTTAAAATGAGCAAAAATAAGCAATTGCGATTTAAAAGAAAAAATGTTAAGAAAGAGAGAGTGAATAGGAAAGAGGGAAATCAGTGTAGTTTTATAAGCTGATAATTAAACTGAAGCAAACAACTTTACTGTGAACTAAATTTACTGTGTAACTTCATTCCTTTTGACGTCCTTTTCTTTGATTTTTCCTACTGGGAAGTTAGAATTTCCTAGGAGAAAGTGAACACACCATTAGCTGATAACAATGGTGGCAAAGGAAGCTAACATATCAAGCTAACGTTATCTTAAACAGTTTATTTAATTGCTGGAGCAGATTAAAACGATGATGCCTCACACTTAGATCGTTGTCGCTGGTTTCATCTTCATCCAATCACCCGTCGCATTTAGTAAAGTGAAGCCGAACTTTAGAGCGCGTTCATGTTCTTCTTGTCGGAAATTCGGAGTTCCGAGGAGAAAGCGAACACACCATTAGCGAAACGGAAGCTAACAAATCAAGCTAACATTATCTTAAACATTTTATTTACCTACCGGAGCAGATTAAGATGAGGATGTCTCACTTAGATCGTTGTCGCTGGTTTCATCATCACCCAGTTACCCATCACATTTAGTGAAGTG